TATGTATCTTAAAGGAAAATTAGTGGTTTTACCCATTTTTTTTGTTCATTTCTTTACACTGAATGTTTTAACAGGAAAACCATGAAATTATTCAAAATGATACAATATATCAATCTCACCAGTAGTAAACGGTATAAAAACAAATAGGTAATTTAAGAATTAATAATACATACTCTATATTATTTTTACAATTATAACTTTACTAATTCGACTGGGAGGAGCCTAGTGGTTAGCTTACCAAACTGTATATCCGAGAATCCATGGTTTGCGTTCCATTGCTGCAGTAACGCAATCAGCATTTTTTTGGTCGTCGGTAATGGCCAAATCTCACTATTCGATTAAAATACCCCAACAGTTGGCGATGGGTGCTGTTGACTAGCTGCCTTTCTTCTAGTCTATCAGTTCAATATCAGGAACGGCTAGCACAGGTAGCCCTCGTGCAGCTTCAGCGAATTTCTGAAACAAACTATTACATATTGATACTAAAACTAATCGGGTAATGGAATCACAATTAATTTGGGTAACTGATAAAGAGATTTAGTTAAAATAATGAACGTGGTCTGATAATTTTAGCAACCCTTCACACTTATTAGTGTGAATTTAATTAATGTTTTAAACTAAATCGGTCTTCCAGCTTGGCCCGCCATGGCCAAGTGGTTAGGGCGCTCCACTCGCAATCTGCGGGTTCGAATCCCCGTCACACCAAACATGCTCGCCCTTTCAGCTGTGGGGGCATTATAATGTGACGGCCAATCCTACTATTCGTTGGTAAAAGAGTAGCCCAAGAGTTGGCGGCCGGTGGTGATGACTAGTCTTACACTGCTAAATTAGGGACGGCTAGCGCAGATAGCCCTCTTGTAGCTTTGCACGAAATTCAAAACACCCAAATTTTCCAGGTGATACAGAATCACCATTGTTATATAGTACTGATTTATCGCCCACTTTGATTCGATGCTATTGACAGTTATAGATTTAAATAATGAAGATACGATTTCATTCCAGATTTTCTCACTTGTGGCGTTCATCTGCGAAGAACAAATTCCAGACTGCTGGAGAACAGATACCACGTGCCTTATGTCAGTTTTCAAGCATTATTCCACCTACCGATATTTCGGCATTATCACATTACTGATTTTCCTATCATCCCTGAGTCTTTTCTTCTTTCGATTTACAAGGTTTTCTTTTTTAAAGAAAGTAACCCCTCTTTTCGGGCTGGTCACGGTAAGTTATATGACCTAAACGTTCCATTCTGTTTTCAAGAAAGTTTGTGATGTCAAATAGTTATTCGTTATAATTGAAGTATGTCTAAGACCACATAAAATGACTCAATATATTTCCAATAAGAATGAATCTTTATTAATTTAATTCCCTATCAAGCCAGAAATATCTGATCTATCAGTTTTAAGATATGTGTGTGAAAGAAAGCTGGCGTTTTTAATAACATCTAAATAATTAGCTTTATAAATACTTTAAATAATCAACGTCTCTTTTACAGAAGTCTTTGAGTTTAATTGTCTTCTATAAATCATTTAATACGCATGTTTGTTTGTAATTAAGCACAAAGCTACACAATGGGCTATCTGTGCTCTGCCCACCACGGGTATCGAAACCAGGATTTTGGCGTTGTAATTCTGCAGACATACTGCTATGCCACTGGAAGGGAGGGGTAATACGTAATATTGATTGAGGGGTAATATTGATTTGTCATACGTTATTTAGTTGTAAGGTAATTTACTGATTTTCCAGTTGTTGTGAATAACAGTAAGTTTAACTGAAATAAATACATAATTTTCTGTTCGTCCTGCTTACTCTAATTCTAAGTTGTAAGTGACTTAAAAATAAATTAATACTAATTACGGTTCACTTACTTAATGTAGCTCACCCAATAACAGTTGTTGTTCATAAAATTGATGATATAGATGGCACTTAGACCATTACTATATCTATCGTATCATAACCGGCTTACCCCCAGTGGCACAGCGGTATGTCTGCGGACTTACAACGCTAGAAACCAGGCTTTGATACCCGTGGTGGGCAGAGCACAGATAGCCCATTGTGCTGAATTACAAACAAACAAACAACTAACCGGCCTAAGAGAGCGTTGGTATTGACCTTTTTGGACCGAATAACGGTTGTCATTTTCATAATGCACCCACAACTGAAAGTACGGCATCACAGCACGAACCTTGGACTCTTCGGTCATAGCTCGGTACGCTAACAAGTAGGACAATTTTAGATCGTTAATGTATGAGTTATTAGTGTAAGAATACGAAGCTAATAATTGTACAGGATCGAAATTTCACGACGCTTTTTAAGCCTTTTGCACATTGGCTTCGATCTCGAGCTTATTTTTTTAATCTTCTCTAGCAAGCAGAAATAAATTATCCATTTTAAATGTTTATGTAAATAACTTTAACAGTGTTGTGGAAAAAAAGGATCTTGGTGTTTTGGTTTATCAGTTTCTTAAGACATCCAAGCAGTGTGCTGTTGCAAGTGGTAGGGCAAAATAGAAATTTAGGTTGTATTTACATAAATATCGATTGCAAGTCTAAAAAGATTAGGTTTCACTGTATAGGTTGCTGGTTAGGGCAGATTTAGCGTATTGTGTTCAGTCTTGGGGCCCTTACCTTAGGTAGGCCATGAACTGTTGGAAAGGGTTCAGAGGAGGGCTACTAGGATGATACCTGGGATGGAAAGGTTGTTAAGATCTCTGAATTGTTTTCTCTTGAAACAAACAAATAGAGTTAGAAGGAATTTGATTGACAATTAAGATTGTTAAGGGAGCTGTTAATGTTAACCACCATATTTTTTCGTACTCAATAGTGAGAATGGTAAGATTAGTGGACATTTTGGCGCGGTAGGAGTCATCTTCAACTAAGACAATTTTATTTTTGTAACAGGTGTTTGGCTTTTCGAATGTGTTGCCTTCGGGATTGGTGGATGCTGTAAATATAAGGGAGTTTAAGGGAAGGCGTAATATATATTTACATGAGAAGGGCTAGCTTTTTTAGTTTAATGTATGAGACAGACCCCTTGTTTTGAAATGTATTATATTATTATAAAAGGCTTAACACGCGGTTGTTACCAAAACTTCAGTGCTGTGAAAATAATAATATATGAAAAATAATGGGGAATTACTTCAACTCCAAATGCTTTAAATATTTTATTGCGTGTGCTACTCCTAATTGTTGTCCGTTTGTTAGAATTACAAATATAAAATTATGGGTCATTTACAATCATGTTTATTTGGGCCAATTTGGGGCCGAGGGTGCGTTGTAAAAGTGACGGTCGACCCCCACTATTTGATCAGAGTACCCTAAGAGTTGACAATGGATTCTGTTGACGAGTAGCCTTCCCTTCAGTCTACTGAACCAGTTAAAAAAAGGGAGACAGCTAACCCTTGTTTAGCGTTACACGAATTTCCGAGACAAAAAACCTTCGGCAAAATAGTATTTATTGAGTAACCCCACATTTCGTCGTATGTCATATCCAACAAGACTTTATTTTTCACAGCATGGAATTTATCTGGGAGTCACAAGCGTCTTGCTGTTCTTCGCAGATTTGTTCCTTTTTATTCAGATGAGTGGATTCGTCGCCCACAGATACGCAGCGGTAGGTTTCAGTTTCTTTTAATGAACTATTAGTCCTACAAAGGACAACTGTAGCTGTATCTTTGGTTGCCAATGAAGTCACGGGTAATTTAGTCAGGTTCCTTGTGTTGTAAAAGTAAAGTTAATTTTTGGAAGCATACCTTTTTTGAAAGCCAATACAAAGACCTGTCCAAAAAATGTGTTTCCATTTTTTTTCCTCCGAGGATTAAGTAACATATGGCAGGGTTAAGATTAGACGTTGCAAACATAAAAAAAATCCCAAAATTTACGACATTGAAATGTAATTTATTGATTCGTCAATTATCTATTTATGTTATGTGATTGATACGATGTGACAAAGGATAAAACATGAATTTTGGAGTTTTATCATTATATATGTTCATAATTACGCAAACTGTTGATTTGTACTTTTGTCACTTCGTTTGTTTGTTTGTTGGAAATTAAGCACAAAGCTACACAATGGGCTATCTGTTCTCTGCCCACCACGGGTATCGAAACCCGGATTCTAGCGTTGTAAGTCCGCAGACATACCGCTGTGCTACTGGGGGGCAAATCAGCAGCAAAAAGGTACAGATATTTACTTTCGTTACGCGTAAATTTTCATACTATAAAACATACGAATATCTACATGGAATTTGGCAATAGATTGTATGTACACCTTGAAAATCTTTGTGTACATGTAATCTTTTGCCTTATTTCAATAAAAGTATGTCAGCTTTATACTTCTTTCATACTGTATATTAGGCCTTGTAAGATATTCATGTTTCTTTGGCATAGGTTCCATCTTTTTCAGTATCAGCAATTCATCGTCAGAGTCGCCAGTTTGAACCTCGTTGGGGCCGTCGTTTTCACATTCTAGACAGAGACAAAGGTCAGTACTGGTCATACCATTAGATTTACAATTACATCAATTCGAAGCACAACTGCTCTTTTTACGTGCACACTTTACCAACTCCAGTATTGACTTAGGGTCTGGTTGGAGTTTTGTTGGGAGAGGTATCAAAGGAAAGCGCCCTCCTCAACCCATCCATTTCCTCTCGGATCCAAATCTTGTTGCATAGCAGTGTGAGTCTGGCTCCAAATAGAAGTCTGAATGTGTGCACGAAGAATATCTTCATGTGAAACAGCTTTGGTAAGGGTAAAGTGTTCACTCTCTGCTTGATACTTGCAGAACTGATGACACCTGAGCTGTTTGATATCAATGATGCACACACACTCGTTGGACAATATGCTCCGCACACAAATTTAACAATCTTCTGTTTCAGGATCAATGTCACATATATCCCCAAGAGCTTTAAAGGCTGCTATGATGCTCTTCTCTGCGCTGAAAAAGTGCCTAAACCATGTCTGTCTGCTTTTACGTGCTATCACTTCCTGCGTGAAATCCTGGCAAGGTTAATGCTCTGTCCGGACCAAGGGCATTGTAAATTTGCTGTATATCAACCTTTCCAGATTTCATACACACTGTTATATTTGAAACCAGTCTGTGACAGTTTGCAATGATAAGGATTAGGTCATCGGTATCGGGAGAGAACTCTGAAGCAAATGAGGCACGCCATATTATAAGAGTATCAACTTCTTCATGATTATTAGCACAGATTGGTTCATATTCTTTACTACAGAGGGTGTTTCCACCTGCGGATGCATATACTGCTTTGCTTGTATGACTGTAGGCTTTAATATATTTCTTTGCAAGATACACAGTTAGAACCTACTTGGTTTTACTTGAGGACAATAATTTGGGAATTGGAATGTTCGTTATATTTGTTTTGTCATCCACTTTGTAAGTGACCTCCTTTATATCTTCAAAATGTATGGTTATTTCTTTATTAGCTTAATTAGGTTGAAGAAAGAAAAATTCTCTTAACTATACTTGATAATAATTTGTCGTGAATGAAAAAATTGGTTATCTTGCTTACGCCTAAAATAACTTTTTAATGACCGGGACGGCAGCAGTCTGCAGGTCCAGTTTTTTCAAACATGACACTTATAGATAGATATATATATAGTAAATATGTAGAAAAGAAAACAACAATGCAAAGAAATGATATACGATACCTACAGAATATTTCTTCTCTGTGTGTTGTTACGTAAGTGGGTGTTATTACTAGCCTAAATTTGCCAAACACTCTTAATTAAAGAATCTGCGGAAGATATCTTATTGGCGCTTGTGTGAAAAAATTGTGACGTCAGCAAACATAGATAAAAGGTGAAAAAACGTAGAAACGCATTTTTTTTTCCGTTCACGGCCTTATGTGATAGTAAATAACCAGTAAATATAAAGTTAACAAGATGTTATTACAACAGGCTAAAAATCCGGTTTTCCGACAAACATGACGCTTATATGTATATGATATTTTTATGGAATGGAAAACAATTACCACTCAAAATGACATAAATTAGGATAAATAGTGTTTTCTGTTAAATGTTGTGTGAAAAACGTGTTTGAATTAGTCTGAAATGCCGAACCCCGATTAAAAAATACATACTGTAGCTCAGTCTGAAAAAAATATGACGTCAGCAAATTTAGATAAACGGTTGATCAAAAAAAGGAAACATGCAGTTTTTGTTCCTTATACCTATAAATATGGCAAATCATCAAAAAACATAACATTAATAACTATTTCCTACGGAATTACACAACGAACCTGGCTAATTATTCGTTATTCAATAACTGTGACTATGCATGTCTACCAAGCCTCATCAGTTTCTTATCGCATTTACTTTTGTAGTTTTATCTCTCTATCTAGCTGGCTTATTTACGAATATAGACAAATAAATAAATATTCATATTTTTCCAAACAGCTTATCTGACATAAGCTGAAGTTCACTCGTTTAACAACCATTATATTTTTACGTTTTCTCAATTTATCTATATTTTTTCTTCTCCAAAAGCAGTTTTTTTTTAATCGACTGGATTTTAAATGTCTTTTATTTGTAGTTTTCAATTCCTTCGAAGGCTCGGCATGACTAGGTGGTTAGGGCGCTCGACTCGCAATCTGCGGGTTCGAATCTCCATCACACCAAACATGCTCGTCATTTCAGCCGTGGGGGCATTATAATGTGACGGTCAATCCCACTATTCGTTGGTAAAAGAGTAGCCCAAGAGTTGGCGGTGATGACTAGCTGCCTTCCCTCTTGTCTTTCACTGCTAAATTAGGGACGGCCGTCAGCACTAGCCGTCCCTAATTTAGCAGTCTAGAGGGAAGGCAGCTAGTCATCACCACCCACCGCCAACTCTTGGGTCACTCTGTTACCAATGAATAGTGGGATTGACCATCACATTATAATACCTCACAACTGAAAGGGCGAGCATGTTTGGTGTGATAGGGATTCGAACCTGCAGATTGCGAGTCGAGTGCCTTAACCACCTGTTCTAGCTCCTGGAAATTACTCTTGAAATTTGTTAGTTCTTTTTGGCACAGAATGTGATTTCATTACTCTATACATTTTGAAGGAGACGTTCATGTTCTTAATAATATTTAATCTGGTTCACGCTCTATCTCATGACAGTTTCAAGTAGTTCAATAGATATGCAATTTTCTAAATTGAAAAATTTTGCTAAGTATTAGGTATTCTTAAGTCTGTATTCTGGGAGCAATTATTCCATACAATATAGAACATATCATTGTTAAGCTCATGATGGTTGGTTTCCAAAATATACCCCTCACCACAAAAAAAAACCTCTGTAAGTTTGTGAAACTTAAGGATTATCATTAAATATTTATTGGTGTGAACATACAGATGTGTAAACAATAATTTAGTCATTATTATAATTTATTATCAGTACGCTTATTCAAATCAATACTGTAAATGAACACCCTTACTGATGTACTTATATACAAGTGATGTCTTTTAAAGTAACAAGTTTGTTTTCAGATATTTGGTCTCTTTACTTTGGGATCTCTGATTCTACAGCTGGTGCATGAAATTATGAAACTAAGTGCTATAAAACAGGCTGCACATGATTCAGATCATGTTGAGAGTTCAGAGCATGAGGAATATGATCGGATGAACGAAGCATGGGCTCTTGACCAGCAATCAGAAACACAATCTATTAATGTACCCAAGTTGAGTTTCATTCGTCCACGATCCAGTTCAGTTGATTTACAGACAGATCAGGATGCAATCCCCAATGAACAAATGATGCAAATCAACTTAAATACTCATCAAAACACAGATTATGAGGACGTTTTCATAAGTAAAGAAACAAATGCTGATAATTCAAGCGAGGCCTCAAGCTCTGGTTCATCACAGGAAGAAAATGTTTGGGTTGTAACCAGAGAGTCGTAATACAGGGGCTGCAGGAAAATGTGAAAGAAACCATAACAAGTATAAAATACTCAGTAACTACAGATTTACTAGGTGGGGTGGGGGCTCAGTCAAGAGGTGGAATGCTCTGGGGGGAAGGGCCTTGTGCTGAGAAACTTGTGTCTTAATAAACTCATTGTTCTAACTAAGGTTGCCAGCTGAATGTTTTCCTAGTTAAGTCAGCGCTCATATTTATATACGAGTGACTATCATTCTGCAGTACACAAGCATTGAAAAACTCGGATAAAAGGTAATAGAGGATAAATTAACACATCTAAATAAAAACGTTTAGTTTTCTTTTGTGCAATGTTTTGAGTAGATGTCCTTCGTCACACATTAAAAACATTTTCAACCATTTGAGTAGAAACAAATCGAGAAAAAGTGTTATAAACATACCCGGCATAAAAACAAAGTCCTAGACTAATTGAACTTTTAGTTTACTAATCAAATATATTCATGATAATGTTAGGAAGAATGCTTACTAAAAGACTACCTATATTTAAAGTTGATGACAAAAAAAACATGCTTAAATGTACATCTAGTTTGTGTGGTTTCAGAAATAAGTATGTTTTTTCTTTATACATCAATACACCTTATATTTAGAGGGTGCCTAATAAACATAAACAGAAGTTAAGTGATACTAAGACACCTTGTATTTATAAGGTGCCTAATAAACATAAACAGATGTTAAGTGATACTAAGGTACCTTATATTTATGGGATGCCTAATAAACAGAACATAGATCTTACACCTATGGGCAGGTTAGGGTAGTTTTAGTTACAACTTTATTAACCTTTCATACTTGGAAGTTTGAACTTTATGCTTTACTAGAGATGGTGTTGTTTAGGTTAATCTTGATGATTTTCATATTTTCACTCGCATACCAATCCATGAATATATTGATTGTGCTTTTTCCTACCTTCAGAATGACTTGTGTCTGAAAACACACTTTCTTTTAGTATCACTTAACTTCTGTTTATGTTTATTAGGCACCCTCTAAATATAAGGTGTCTTAGTATCACTTAACATCTGTTTATGTTTATTAGGCACCTTATAAATACAAGGTGTCTTAGTATCACTTAACTTCTGTTTATGTTTATTAGGCACACTCTAAATATAAGGTGTCTAAGCATCACTTAACCATAATACGTGATAAAAAAAAAATTAATTAATTATGTTTATTTAAATCCAATAAATATTGTTTCTTTTCCCCTACCTGTAATAGGTTTATTACGTAAAAACGAACTGTATTTGAGAACACCTAACATTTAATTCTTAGTTCATGCACTGATGATGAGGTCTCTCGTTTCTTTTAAAACATTAATTTCTTCTTTAATCAAGTTAGGTTTCAATAATCTTTATTTATTCACCAGTATTTTACTTTATTAGAAAAATCAAATCATTTAATAAAAACCCAACCTTTGGAACTTGTAAAAAATAAACACAATGGATAACGTAATAGAATGATTCTTTACTCTGTTTTCTTTAACAATTTTTCCCTTTATTTATCCTTCCAAATTAATCAAATAAATAGTTATGTAACACATTCCTCAAATCCTGTTTCAATATCTAACAAGGGAGGTTCTTTTTTTGGGAAAGAGAGAAAAGAACTTTCTTTTCCAACAACTGAGAACTGGTCATATGAAAACAAATTATGGATAACGGAGTTTAATAGTCTTTTTATTTTGCATTTTCAGTTAAATTATTATGCTTTCTTTTTCTAGGCTAATTAACTTTCACAACCTTTGATAATTCATTTGTCATCCATTGAATAAAGAATGAAAAAAAAACGCAATCTTCAGGTGTAGCCAACCTTGTGAAAAAGCCCCTGCTAGCAGTAACATTTTATTATGAAAAAAACAAAAACAGCCCTTCATATTTAAACTGCAAGTAATAGTTGACTTTAAAGATTAAACATTAACTTTCATGTTTTTTTAGTTGGTATTAGAGCTGAGCAATTACTTCAATTACCTACTAAAAATAATCAATTCATAAAAAATTAGTGTTTACGAAAATTACTACTTCCGATTCTTTCAATTATCCAAGTCTCATGAGAATAATTGATTAATTGAATGTAATTAATTATTGAACCTAATGACTAATTGTCCAGCTCTACCCAGTATTGGTAATATTGGAAAGAAATTTTTGAATAAATCCTTCGCTTCTGCGGGTCTTGAGAAGAATTAAATCCAATTTGACTTTCCTTACTTTTAAAACGAGCTAAAGTTTTCTCAGTAAAAGCTTCAAGAATTCTGTTATTGTGTCAAAACTATAAGTTCTTTAGGACTGAATTTATTGACTCACTGAAGGTTAGATTGAATTTGGATCAGGACAAGATTTCTATTTTAGAAGAAAGATGGTACAGTTTCATGTATTTTGTGATTCAGTCCCACCTGTCAAAACTTCATCTTGCCAAAATTAACATACATATGAGATTCTAAAAGAAAACAGTATTCAAGAGTGATCAAAATTTTTTTGTATGGCATGTGTTTCAACACACTGAAAACCTTATGACTGTTGAAGCTGGTGAACATACAACATATAAAGTACAAAATTAATTTGTTTACTATATGTAGTGAATCAAAGAGGGCTGCTTAACTCGAAGTACCTAAAGTAAAGGTTTACCACGTTTATAATTTCACTGTTTAATTCAAAAACGGTAGAGTAAGTGGTGCACCCGCACAGAGCACCAACCCACATGGGGGTGCACCCTGCACAGAGCACCAACCCACAGGGGGTGTGTGCACCTGCACAGAGCACCAACCCATGGGGGGGGGGGTGACTTTGCATCTTTTAAAGCAAGGATAGATTAGACTTTTTTGAGGAGGGATGCAAATTAATATCTTACACAGGGCACCAATAACAAACAGTATGGTCCTATTCCCAAATTATATTATTAATTTCATTTTCATATCAAACTTTTTTTCTGTCACAAATCTTAAGCACTACAAAATCCCCCTTCGTCTAACAAGGATGGTGATTTACGTATTTCATTTATTATTGTTACATAACTTCAGATGCCAAAGCATACATACCACCAAAACACTGTTTAGTTTAATACATTTATTTATTCATGTCTATTAGAAGAACACCCAATTTTTCAAGCTTAACTATATCTGTATAATAAATTTTTCTGACAAAAAAAAAGAAAAACCACAGCTCTGTTACACATCCACAGAATTCTGGTTGTTTTAATACATTTGACCTCACCTTATAAATTCAAATATACCACTCACAATTTAGGTAATTCTTGGTAATTTAATAGAGGAAAAAACCACATCAATAAAGTAAAACACGAGATATATCATGCACATAAATATCAAACAGAATGAAAAGCTCTGTGGTTGATATATCATTTTCTATATAAAAAACTAGCCACCAGTTCCAATAACTTTAAAATTATTCAACTGCCAAGAAGTAGCTGGATGTTAATTATTAAAGTATCCAACAAATTCTAAGGCCTTTTTCTATGCCTCATACAAAACTGCATTATAAAGCATCAACAGAAGATTAGACAAATTTCTAACATTTCATAAATTCTAAACAAAACAACATTTTAACTGGTACCCTAAGTTTCAGCTTAATGCAAACATATGCTTCTTAAGAGTGAGCGGCAAAAAACACATTTATGAAAATTCTCTTTAACTCTTTAAAACATTCCTTTTTATTCAACACAAAAATTTTGTAAAATTGCAATCTTTAATGTTCCAAGTTTTTAATTTACACATACAGAAAGATATATATATATATATATATCTACTACTATTATTATTACACGTAACACTTGAAGACATTTAAAACAAAGTCTGTAGTTTTAATTAAAAACAAAACACCTGAGAGAAATTCTACTGTTTCACCATCATTTAAAAGTGAGGAAATCTTTTTTTTCCAACATAAACAAAATATACAAATATCAGAATAACATCTTTCTCGAACATTATTTTTCTATTATGATCAGAGCACATGGTTTATTAATAATACATCAGCATTACTCGGTGATAAATAAAATCTATCAGAAATGTGGTTATAATACATATTTTAGTTTAATATTCAGCAGCCAAGTTGAATACCCATGTTTTTAGAGACTGAATATGCTTAAGATATGTTAATCTGATTATTAAATAAAGACAAAATTGAAATATACATGATTACCATGTCCAAACAATAATTGAGATACCTGTGGCAACTTTAAAGCCTAAACACTCAAAATATTGTAGATGTAACAAGGTATCAAAAGCAATACCCTAAATCTGAAAAAAGTGAATTCAACCAACATTATACACCTCCCTTCAAGTGGGCTAACCTAAACATATTTTTTTCAAACTGTATCTAGACTTAATGGTACATAAATAAAGTGAAATCTGCTTCCTAGTTTCGACAAAGAGGACAAACTATAACAATATGAACCTAAACATATTTTTCAAACTGTATCTAGACTTAATGATGCGTAAATAAAGGAAAATCTTCCTAATTTTTAGGAAGAGGATTTTTCTACTCTTCCTTAAAACTTACAATTATGCATTTACTAATCTTAAAACATAATTAAACACAAATTTTGATGAAAAAAAAAAAGAACTCGGTGACTATGGCACACTCAGATGTGCAAACACATACCAACGTGATGCTGCATGTTCCCCTCTTCTATTGCAGGTTAGTTAATAAATCAGATCTGGACCTCTGAAGAAATTCGTAGAAGAATCCACTTCACAAGCAAAAATTAAAGAGTAACATAAAATAAAAGGTTTTGTCTCCTGTTAATCTCCAGGTGAACTCATTGCAGCTTCTTCGGGTACTAAGGAAATAAAGAGTAACATAAAATAAAAGGTTTTCTCTCCTGTTAATCTCCAGGGGAACTCATTGCAGCTTCTTCGGGTACTAAGGAAATAAAGAGTAACATAAAATAAAAGGTTTTGTCTCCTGTTAATCTCCAGGTGAACTCATTGCAGCTTCTTCAGGTACTAAGGAAATTAGCAACACGTATTAAACGAGCTCAATCTTATGTTTCTTTTAACTACACAAATACTACATTTAACTCTCATTAACACACCTTAGAAAAGTTACGTTATGGAACACCTGGGGTCTAATAGGATCCCAGCACAAAATTACCATTATAGTACGTTCTGGATTTAAATTCCAAAAACCAATTGCATTACAAATTTTATTAGGGTTAGCATGCAATGTGAACAACATAACAGTATATATGTATTCTAGAGGAAATATATTGACAGATTATAATATAATAAGATTTTCTGGGTTTTGGGGGGTGCTGAATTTATATGTCGCACAGGGCACCATCAGATATCGGTACGGCATGATAAAATAGTTTGTTCATGAATAGCAAGAGTTTAACCCTAGGTTACTGATGCTATCGCTTTTACTCACTATGGCAGATGCTTTAATATACGAGTCTGTACAATATCTCCCTTCATGTTTGTACTTTGTTATCTTAATCTATACAGACTACTCTAACTTCAGACAACTTAGTAAATAAACAAATCAAACAGAAACAGAGACAAGTTAGTGGTTAGTAATACTTTGAATGCTGCAAAAATCTCCAGACAGTACTCTTCCTGTCGTATATATATTTTTTATGTTTCTGTTTTGGTTGGACTGCTTCATTTAAAGATTGATGTTGTTCAAGACCCACACATAGGTTCTACAAACAAAGCTTTAATAAGATAGATAACACCAAGTAAACATTAAAGACATGAAAATTTTAAATTATTAATCAAAACATATAAGGTCAAGCTAACTGGTCTATCAACACCTAGGCTTAGCGTGGCCCAGAAACTGTGATAGCGTGCCAAATTGTGGACCCCAAGGTATAATCTAGGACCTGGGCAATCAGGACCAAAAGTTTATATCTCTAAAACTTTTCTGGGTAAATTAATCAATAACATATTTCAAAAAATCACGACACATTTGCATTAGTGAAAGACTAAATCTTGAAATGGCACCAAAAACATTCAGATGTTTGGAAGGCAGGGGAGGTTAGGTCACTTTTTGATGTTTTCCTGAAAATATTTGCATTTCTGTATTGGATAATAAAAAGTTTGAGGTATGTTTCAATCAAGTGACTAAATATTACCTTATAGTATCTTTTAGCCTAATTTTGAAAGTTTACTTTTTTTAAATTATCAAACACATATAAGTCTGAAAATGCTAACTCTAATGAGCGGTACTATTCGTACGGTCTCACAGTGAATCGTGCCCTGAAGTTGCATTTAGTACGCTGATGTCACATAGTTAACTTAAAATATTGATGCATTTTGGAAATAAAATAATTGCTTTGCGAGGAAATTACAAAATGTACAAGAAAATAAAAGAGGTGAACCACTAGTCAAATTAAAATAAGTTTACTGTCAAATACGAAAATGTTTCGGATAACAGCCTGCCATCAGGTTGCCAGAGAGGAAAAAAACAAATATTAGAAGAAACAGGGTATATATAAAAAAAACGGAATAAAAAACACAGAACGTGTGGCTCAAAGTTTCAAGATCATATTCTTCAGTTAAAATTAAAACAAAGAAAATATGAGAAGTAATGCACACTAAGTATTAAATTAATTTATTGAGTAAAGGTTGAAGAAATAAAAAATCATGCAAAAGATGGTAGTTTAGAGGAATGACATATTAAATAAACTAAGTAAAGAAAAAAAAAGGTAGAACATGCATAAAGGCAACAAAATGGTTAAATATACAAACAAAAAGAGAATGAAAGCAAGCATCTACTGACATTGTCCAGCGAGATACAACACCGAAAGATGTAGGAATTGAATATAAAGTCATTAAAAAAAATGACAGTAAATCTGGGATGTGACTTGCTAAATAAATCAAAACAAATAAATATAAAGGCAACAACTTTGGTTAAGAAAAGAGCTTGATATAATAAACAAACTTAAGTGGTCAAGATAATGAATAAGAAAAAGAACATACACGTTGAACAAAACTGTTAACCCTCATCAACACACCTTTGAAAAGTTACATTACCGAACATGTGGGGTAGGTCCATCTGCATCCTAGCACAAAATACCATAATAGTAAGCTCTGGATTGAAATTCCAAAAATTAGTTGCATAACAACTATTATTAGGGTTAGCATGCAATGTAAACAACATAAAAATGTGTATTTTAGAGGAAATATGTTGACAATTCAAGAAATTAAAAAATTATACAAATCAAAAATGCTGATTAGACTCCTATATTCTAGTCATTATCTACTGAAATTGTACATTGTGGGTCACCTTGGGTCCTACCAGACCCCAACAGAAATGTATCCTTATAGTAGGCTATGGATTAAAAATCCAATAAGCGGGTTATATACAATATAACAAGGATTCGATAAAACAGGGCATTATAAGCAGTCATCATAGAGAACGCTTGTTGAGGAATGAGATGTGCATACATGCTTACTACAGTGATGTTATAAACAAACAGACGAGATGATACTGTACTGCTTTGATGGATTATTCTCTATATAATCAAATAAACATTTAGAAATTTGTTTAGTATGCTATAGGGTGAACTTTATAAATAGTGACGGTCAATGTCAGTATGGGGTCTGCGGGGACCCCAGATGGATAATAGATACAAACTCCATCTGCCTGTTTCAAAAACAATAGAGTCATATTAATCCAGGGTTTCTGCTTGACAGTTACTTGAATTGATAAAAATTTGTAATAATTATGCAAAAAGATATACAACCGTGAAAAATATTGGGGTCCATGTGGACTCCAGGTGTGATGATGAGGGTTAAATAGTAAGCTACTGAACTGTTTTTATAAAGTATAAAAACAAAACTAAAAACAGTTTAAAACCAAATCTATCAGCTAAAATCATACTGCAAAAAATTAGTCTTTAGAACAGCATATTATAATTAAGCCTCACTACAAATATATACATACAAATCCAAAGATTTAATGATGTTTTAAACACAGCAAAATTCTATTTTCAATAAAGTTTTGTTTCTTTAGTGTTAGATTTTATCCATACATCTCTTTAAAATGTTCAAACCAACAAAACCAAAATATATATATGTAAATGTTCAAGCTATTTAATGTGTGCTGGCCTCACTAATTCTTGCACAAATGTGGGGGTGGGAATATACCATGAATAGTTGTTATGATAGACAGTGTGGTTGAAGTATTACTATACACTTCTTCTTGAAAAAACCCTCAAGGACTGAATAAAAAGTGTAGTGTTTTAAAATACAACAGGCCTAATATTAATGTCTTCTGACAAGTATAACTAGTTTTAATGAGAAATTTGTTGTTGTTTTTTTCATATAATAAAATTATTTTTTCTATTTTGTTTTTCAAACTTACAATCTGTAAATTATTTTTGGTTGTTGAAGCCTAAGCATTAATTTATGCTGCATCTCAGAAAAACTTATCTTTGGAAAAAACTCAAGTTAAAAACACTTAATATTTAGATTTCAACCAAAAGAAAAGAAAAAAAAAACAATCGATGAATTCTGAACTATGTTAACCATTATGCATAGCTCAAAAATCCTCCCAAGTTCCATCCTGGCCATATCGTTCTAACCAAGTTTATCAGAACCTGACAGCTGACTTCTGCAATCGGAGATTAAGGTCTCAGTTTTCACTGACTCACAGATATAAATATTTATAAATTCTCTAAAACAAAGAGAGAACATACTGAATTGTTCAGTTCAATTTCAAGCACTTTTCAAGGACTTTCTAAGCACTCTTAGGTTGTTTTGAAGGACTTTTTGAGAAGCTAAAATCAATTGGATTCTACTGAAATTTTATAAAATTCCTATTTATTAGTTCAACATATGAATGTAGACTAAAAAGAAAAGACTTTATTTTTTGCACTCGACTCTGCAACATACATTAAAGTTAGATATATCCATATATTCTGCTATTATAACATTTTCAAGAACTTTTACATAAAAAGACCCCCTTTTCATGCCCTTCAAATTCCATTCTTGATTTCAAGAACTTTCAAAGATGCGAATGCGCCCTGCTAAAAATTATTTTAAAATAAAGATGATACAATGATATTATTAACAATATACCTTTAATTTAACCGTGCTTGATCTCGTTAACTTGTCTCTTTTGTTAACCATGTTATGCCAGGTTTGTATCTCTAGCTTCTTCCAAAACAAATCTTTGGAGGGTTGGAAACAAATTAGAAGCACATATCAATCATCATAATTAGTTGTCAGAAATCAACAGTAGGTAAAAAAAAACATACTGGGAAAATACTCTGAAAACCATGAAAAACAAACAAATTACTGTCGAATATCTTAGTAGAATTAACTAAAAATACTCCAGTTTAAAATTCAAAAGCATGCATGCTAAAGCTGGGTACATAAATAGGACTTGGTTAGGCCAACAATCACATTCTAGTGGCATAAAGATAAGTGGCTTACAGTCGTTCAGTAAGCTGGGTACATAAATAGGACTTGGTTAGGCCAACAATCACATTCTAATGGAATAAAGTTTAATTGGCTTACAGTCGTTCAGTAAGCTGGGTAGGTGGGACTAGTTGGAGAGGTGGTCTGAGAGGTGGTCACAGTCACGGTTCTCTCCCCTTGAGCTATCTCTCCAGTTCTCCAGGCTTTGTACTTCAAAAAAGTGTCTGTTCCATACAACAACATTGCAACAAATCCAAAGAACTAAAATAAAGACATCCATTTATTTTCATTTTAAATTCTCAACAGTTCTTCATAATCACAAGAATTTTACAATGGTAATACAGAGAATACAGTGAAAAATGCAAGAAAATAGTAATGTATAGCATCGTGTCATTTAGCTTTGGTGTGTACTGCTATATATATATGTATTTTTTTTCTATTTATGGAAGCCAATAAGTCCAACATTGATATGTTGAAGTGCCAGGTATATTGGGAGTTTATTTGAGACATCAGGTACTGATCTGGAGCCTTAACCTCCTTGTTTTATTTTCAATAAATACAGAGTATTAGATACAACAAATATTAAAAGGAACTGGATAAGGCTGAATTCTAGCTTCACAAACAGCCATGTATTTGAGACATCCAAGTCTGACATGATGATTATACTGTATAGATATGCGTTACCACTTGATATTGAAACATGTTACTAGAACAATCGTGTTTGAAGTGTTTATTTTTACAATTCATCTAAAAAAAAAGAGTATCCAATACAAAACTAAGTGTAATGACAAAACTTCCATAAACGAGTTGAAACTAACTGTAACTGAAATCTTTAAATAGAAAAATTAGCTATTATTAATATTATTATCTTGAAAAAGAGTTAATAAGATTTGAGTTTGAGAGATAAGATTAATTACTAGACAAATAAAATCCATCATCCTAAATAAGAATAAGCCTGCTGTCCACCTAATAGGTCTAAAACATGTAATTCTACTAGCTGACCAGTGGTAATGTTTGTAAAACAAGGAAAACCAACATCTGATATAACCCACGGATAACTTACTTAATCACAACTAGCTGACCAGTGATAATGTTAGAAAAACAAGGAAAACCAACATCTGACATAACCCAAGGATAACTTACTTAATCACAACTAGCTGACCAACGGTAATGTTTGTAAAACAAGGAAAACCAACATCAGACATAACCCAAGGATAACTTAACTACTACTAGCTGACCAGTGGTAATTTTAGTAAAACAAGGAAAACCAACATCAGACATAACCCAAGGATAACTTACTTAACTTTAGATATAAAACAATATTCTACACCAAATACCGTTCTACACGTGACCCAAGGATAACTTACTTAACTTTAGATATAAAACAATATTCTACACATGTGACTCAAGGATAAATTACTTAACTTTAGATATAAAACAATATTCTACAGATGTGACCCAAGGATAACTTACTTAACTTTAGATATAAAACAATATTCTACACATGTGACCCAAGGATAAGTTACTTAACTTTAGATATAAAACAATATTCTACAGATGTGACCCAAGGATAACTTACTT